TTTTTAGTATTAAGGTCTGGTGCTTAGTATTAGGGAGAACCTGCCTGGAGCTAGCCTGGCAGCACAGAAGCAGCAGTTTTAGTAAGGACTTTAGAAAGGGAAATGGAAGGGGGTGAAGTAGTTTTTAGTATTAAGGTCTGGTGCTTAGTATTAGGGAGAACCTGCCTGGAGCTAGCCTGGCAGCACAGAAGCAGAAGTTTTAGTAAAGACTTTAGAAAGGGAAATGGAAGGAGGTGAAGTAGTTTTTAGTATTAAGGTCTGGTGCTTAGTATTAGGGAGAACCTGCCTGGAGCTAGGCTGGCAGCACAGAAGCAGCAGTTTTAGTAAAGACTTTAGAAAGGGAAATGGAAGGAGGTGAAGTAGTTTTTAGTATTAAGGTCTGGTGCTTAGTATTAGGGAGAACCTGCCTGGAGCTAGGCTGGCAGCACAGAAGCAGCAGTTTTAGTAAAGACTTTAGAAAGGGAAATGGAAGGGAGCGAAGTAGTTTTTAGTATTAAGGTCTGGTGCTTACTATTAGGGAGAACCTGCCTGGAGCTAGCCTGGCAGCACAGAAGCAGCAGTTTTAGTAAAGTCTTTAGAAAGGGAAATGGAAGGAGGTGAAGTAGTTTTTAGTATTAAGGTCTGGTGCTTAGTATTAGGGAGAACCTGCCTGGAGCTAGGCTGGCAGCACAGAAGCAGCAGTTTTAGTAAGGACTTTAGCTTGGGAAATGGAAGGAGGTGAAGTAGTTTTTAGTATTAAGGTCTGGTGCTTAGTATTAGGGAGAACCTGCCTGGAGCTAGCCTGGCAGCACAGAAGCAGAAGTTTTAGTAAAGACTTTAGAAAGGGAAATGGAAGGAGGTGAAGTAGTTTTTAGTATTAAGGTCGGTCTGGTGCTTAGTATTAGGGAGAACCTGCCTGGAGCTAAGATGAAATAGGTGAAGTCAGTAATTAATCAGCTGTCTCCCTGCCTCACTGTTGGATGCTGCAGCAACTCTTCCACTGCCAGCTGTTCTGCCTGGCTCATCGCAAAATCCGCTGGCATGTCAACGAAAAAGCCTGTCTGCACTCCATGCTGGCTGGAGAACAGGTAAGAGCCTTCATACTCTGGCTGTGGCTGCTGGCCCTTCTCTTCCTCTGTGAAAGGCACTGGCTTGCCTGACTTCACATACTTTGCTCTGTCTGAGAGCATGTGTGGAGCCATCTTGCTGTTGCCTTCTGGAAAGTCCTTTGCCCATGGCTGTGCACTGACTGGCTGCAGGTCGCCTGCCTCGTCTGGCCTGTAGTGGAGCCAGCCTCCACTTCTCGCTCCCCTTAAGACTGTCTCGCTGGTTTCATTGAGCTGCTGCATCCTCTGGTGCATCACTCTGGCTGCCTCGAGGATCTCTGCAAGACCTGTCTTGTAGGTTGGTGTAACACCTTCCTGTCTGGCTTTCTCTCTGAGCATGTCCCTCAGGTCATTGTGGTATCTGCTAAGGGCTGCTTTGGCTGGCTGAGCAAGCGCTATGTCTGTGAGCTGTGTGAGGCCTGTTGTGCCTGCCCCCACACAGCATCTGAGTCTCTGTGTTATGAAGGCTGCCTCGCTGCCTGCCTCAGTCCATCCTCCTACAAAGGCATCTATGAGGTCTACAGCCTGTCTGTGCTCCTTGGCTTCCAGTGCCTGCTGGAAAGCGTATATGACTGAGTCAACAACTGCACTGGGCTGACTCCAGACCAACACTTCGTCTCCTTGGAAAAGCTCTGGCCTTTCCTGTCTCAGCTGTCTCCACTGACGCATGAGCACACCTGAAACCTTCTGTCCTGCCTCTCTGCGCACTGTTTGACCCTGGTATTCATATTGCTCTGTCTCCAGCCAGTGCCCTGACTCGCTGATGTTTTCCAATCTGCAGTGGCTGCCATAGACCAGCAAAATGGAAGGCATCACTCGACCCACTGGCTTCTTGTCTGGCTGAAAGTATTCTTCTACCGCCTGCCTGGCGACAAAAGAAACTCGCCATCTAGGCGCCTGCCCTGGACTTCTGGCTGCTGTCTCAACAGGCTGCTCTGGCTCTCCAAGCTCCTCTTCTGCTGCAACCATCTGTTGCTCTGCTGCTTCTCCAGCTGCTTCCTCCTTCAACTGCTCTGCCTGCTTCTTCCTGGCTCGCTTTCTGACCCTCTGCTGCAGGGCCCGCTCCTGTCTCACTGTGCTGACCAGCATCTTGCCTGGAGGAGGCTTCAGCCAGACAGGAATCTGGTCACTGAAAGTCAGCACTGTTTGCTTCCTGTTGACAAACCAAGCCTCTCTGTCTCTCACTGGAAGGTCTTCCTGCACAACTGGCTGAGCTGCCTTGTAGAGCTGACTGTCGTAGTGCCTCCAAGCTGCCTCCATTCTCTTTCTCAACTCCTCCTTGCTGATGTTTTGAGTCTGCTGGCAGCTTCTCTCTCGCAGGCCTGCTCTGGCTGCTAGCTTCGTGGCCTCTTTATCCCGCTGCTTCTTCTTGGTCTGCAGTGTCTTCAGCTTCTGTCTCCATGCCTGGAGCTCCTGGAGCTTCTCTGCTGACAACTGCTCCTCTCCCTCTCTGTGCTGTATGGACTGCTGCAGCCTGTACTCATAGTCCCTGACTAGGTCTGTGAGACTCAGCAGATGTTGCTGGCTCTCTTCATACTGAGCCCACAAGGCTGTGGCCATCCAAATCACTCTGCATCTGTCTGGGCGACCTAGCTGCTTGCCTGCTCCAGCCACTCGACTGCCTTGGGCCTTGCTGGTCCGCTTTTCCATGCTTAAGTGGCTGCCTCTTCTTCTCAAACCTTGCTTGCCTAGCTGTCTCTGGCTGACAAACTCTGTCATCTGAGCCATTGTGTCTGTCTTCTCCAAGTTTCTGACTGCTGTCGTGCTCAAGCCGTATTTCGATCCTATGATCTGTCTGGCTTTGGTCTTGCTCAAGCCTGGCTGCTGGCAAAGCTCCACTAGTTCTGCGTGGAGCTGCAACTTGGTTTGTGCTGTTGGCTCAGCTCGATGCTTTCTGACTCCAACTGCTGGCTTTCCATGCTTCCTCCCTGAACCTTTGGGCCTGCCTCCCTTCCTCTTCGATGGTGGCAGAACTACTGCTGCACTGTCCTCAGCTGACTCTAAACTGACTAGAGCTTGCTGCTGTGCTGGACTGAGAGGCTGCACTTCTTGCCTGGCTATCTTCTCACTAGAAGAACCAAACATGTAATCCAAACGATAGAACTTGGTGACTGAGCTACCTGGACTTGAGGACTGTCTCTTCTGCCCTCTCTCTGGGGTAGCAGCTGCCTGCCTCAATTCGTTTGACAAGCTTCTCCTGACTGACACACTCTCTGCCTGTCCTTCCTCCTCCTGGCCATCCTGGCTCTGCACCTTCCCATCGCTCTTCATCACACTGGCTGCCAGTGCTCTACTTTCTGACTGACTCGAGCAGAAGGACTGGAAATGAAACAAATCTGGCAGAAAACAAACAAGCAAACACACACACACATAATTATATATATATGTAATAAAATATATAAGTATATATATATATATATACCCACATATTTACTATTCTATCTAACTCATTATCTGTCTAATTACCTATCTGTCTACCTTTCTATCCATCCAAGTTTCTGCACCACTGATTCCAATTCAACTGCCCTGTGGCTTGCCAGCTGGTGAAGTAATTATATAACTAATTAGTTTTTAATATTAAGGTCTGGTGCTTAGTATTAGGGAGAACCTGCCTGGAGCTAGCTTGGCAGCAGAGAAGCAGCAGTTTTGGTAAGGACTTTAGAAAGGGAAATGGAAGGAGGTGAAGTAGTTTTTAGTATTAAGGTCTGGTGCTTAGTATTAGGGAGAACCTGCCTGGAGCTAGCCTGGCAGCACAGAAGCAGCAGTTTTAGTAAGGACTTTAGAAAGGGAAATGCAAGGAGGTGAAGTAGTTTTTAGTATTAAGGTCTGGTGCTTAGTATTAGGGAGAACCTGCCTGGAGCTAGCCTGGCAGCACAGAAGCAGCAGTTTTAGTAAGGACTTTAGAAAGGGAAATGGAAGGAGGTGAAGTAGTTTTTAGTATTAAGGTCTGGTGCTTAGTATTAGGGAGAACCTGCCTGGAGCTAGCCTGGCAGCACAGAAGCAGCAGTTTTAGTAAGGACTTTAGAAAGGGAAATGGAAGGAGGTGAAGTAGTTTTTAGTATTAAGGTCTGGTGCTTAGTATTAGGGAGAACCTGCCTGGAGCTAGCTTGGCAGCACAGAAGCAGCAGTTTTAGTAAGGACTTTAGAAAGGGAAATGGAAGGAGGTGAAGTAGTTTTTAGTATTAAGGTCTGGTGCTTAGTATTAGGGAGAACCTGCCTGGAGCTAGCTTGGCAGCACAGAAGCAGCAGTTTTAGTAAGGGAAATGGAGGAGGTGAAGTAGTTTTTAGTATTAAGGTCTGGTGCTTAGTATTAGGGAGAACCTGCCTGGAGCTAGCTTGGCAGCACAGAAGCAGCAGTTTTAGTAAAGACTTTAGAAAGGGAAATGGAAGGAGGTGAAGTAGTTTTTAGTATTAAGGTCTGGTGCTTACTATTAGGGAGAACCTGCCTGGAGCTAGCTTGGCAGCACAGAAGCAGCAGTTTTAGTAATGACTTTAGAAAGGGAAATGGAAGGAGGTGAAGTAGTTTTTAGTATTAAGGTCTGGTGCTTAGTATTAGGGAGAACCTGCCTGGAGCTAGCCTGGCAGCACAGAAGCAGCAGTTTTAGTAAGAACTTTAATTAGAAAGGTAAATGCAAGGAGATGAAGTAGTTTTTAATTAGTACTAAGGTCTGGTGCTTAGTATTGGGGGGACCTGCCTGTATTCTATCTATCTGTCTATCTAATTGTCTATCTAATTATCTATCTAATTATCTATCTATCTATCCATCTAATCATCTAATTATCTATCTATCTATCTATCTATCTATCTATTTATCTATCTATCTATCTATCTAACTAATTATCTATCCATCTATCTATCTATCCATCCATGAAACTGGCTGCACAACTGATTCCAATGCAACTGCTCTAATTAATTCAACTGTCTGTCTGCTGCCAAGCTGCTGCCTCTGCTGCCAGGGCTGCCAAGGCTGCTTGCTGAGCTGCCTGCACTTGCTGGTCTGGCTGCGCTCCCTCAGGCTGAGTGACTGGCTGCTGGGCAGCTGGCTCAGCAACTGCTTGGACTGGCTGCGCGGCTGCCATTACTGCCCGTCTGTTTGCCCTTACTACTGACTGGCTTTGTTCTGCCTCGCTTTTTTTTGCTTGAACCAGCACACAATGGAGGCTAGCTGTCTGTGGACCTGACCCGCTGGAAAAAAAACTGGACAATTATAAGGATCTTTATACAATGAATAATTAATCCCCTCCTCCTATATAATCCTTAAAAACATAAATTCAACATTGGTTCCCACTTTGGTTCCCTAATATTATGGATTCTAATTATCTGCCAAATAAATCTTATTGCCAGCATAATTATGAAAACCCTCATGATTACTAATTACATATACACATATAATTAATTGATTGTACATCTATTTACTTATTTGTAGCCATCATGAAGCCCTCATGAATAATTACTACATAATTATACACGAATGAATTGATTATATATATATACACTTATAATTATATACATATTTATGCATCTAATTAATTAATTAGAATTACTTAGAAATCTGAATAAAATGAATAATCCCTTCCTCCATTCTAATGCATGAATAACTAATTAACATGACTTCGATTTGGTTCCCTAATAATAAATACCCCCCTAATACTAAAAACTACCTGCCGTGTTTTGTATTGGGGGGGGGGTTTAGTATTAGGAGGAAGGGATTAAAGACGACTCATATCTTTTTGGGGGTTGCTACAATTGATGGACTCGGACTACCGAGACTCTCCCCACACATCCCATTTTTGATGGTTACCATGATGAAGCATCCATTTCCAAGAATCTCAAAAGGCTTTTTTTCTCACCAAGAGGCCCAAGATGTTCTCTTCTTCGGTGGAGTCAGCGTTTTCAGGAGGCACAACCGCCACCAAGGAATAGAGGGATCCTGACACTGACATGTTGTAGAAGTCCTTGTCATAGGAGACTGGAAACCATTCCTGGCGCAGCCAAGATCAGCCAAGTGACAAGGGTAAAATGCCATTCAAATATTGACCAAAGTTCCCTATTTCTCTTGTATTCATTGTATTGCTACATATCACCCCCTCAACCATGGCTAATATCGAAGCTGGGAAACATATTAGCAATAGCTATTCAATAAATACTGCAATCACATCTTAAAATGGTGCATGATGGAAAAAAACACATTCAAACTGTACTAGTGACCTAAATTCCAATTTTACCACATACCCTCTGGTAAACTAACATAACTAGGGAAAATCACAATATTTCATGGGTAACTCAACTATAAATCTCTATAAATGGCCGTTCTCAATAGCTATGTTAAATTACAAGCGGCTACTGGTTGGTGGTATACCTACCCCTCTGAAAAATCTTAGTCAGTTGGGATGATGACATTCCCAATATATGGAAAGTCATAAAATTCCATGGTTCCAGTCACCACCAACCAGATCATCATCACATTCCCATTGTTGTTGGTTTATACCCTATTAACATCTATTAACCACTATGAACCACTATTCCAAACCACCAACCAGCTATGTTTCCTTGGGCAATTCCAACTGATGGCTTTTATCATATCCCACATCCTGGTGGAGGGCGATCATCTCGTCCATATCCGAGCTCTGCAGGGGCCGGTAGCACAAATCGCTGACCGAAAGACGCTGCAACTGCTCTGGGGACAACCTGCCCCAAGGGTCCGGTGGATTTTGGACATGACCAGGTTGGAAGATCCTGGAAGGTCCTGGTGATCACCATTTAAAGAAACAAACACACCATTCGATATTATACAAAACATCATTAGATATAGTATCAAACTAGCCAGAATATCATATCTAATCTTATCTATCATATATCTGGCTGAATTCGCGTGGCCCTGAACGTGGCTGAAACTTATGGCCAGCTATGGGGATGATTCACCTCCATTCCAGTGACGAAAATTCAGCCAAATGGGATGATCTCGTCTGGTTGGTGGTTGACCAAACCCTCTGAAAAATATGAGTCCGTCAGTTGGGATGATTATTCCCAATATATGGGAAAATAAAATTCATGTTCCAAACCACCAACCAGATTCATGACTTGGGGTTCCCCTGTTGGCATGACTGGGGGAGGACTTGAGATTCGGAGGATGCGAATTATAAGAGTTGTTGAACATGCTGGCTTTTCCAAAACAATAGTGGGGGGTGAAGCCATTGAAAAACAGATTGGACCAACAGATTGGGATATGTATATACATATATATCTATAACTGGGATGGTTTTTACAGTTCAACAAATCTAAAGATGACTTGATGACGTTCTCTCCCCATCTCTGCTCTCTCGTTTCGACCTGTGCCTGAGGCAATATCATGACTGTTGGGAAATCATCCGTCAAACTAGGCGTGGGGATGGAAATGGAATTAAACCTTGTTTAATCGCTTGAACACCAACCAGTTCCTTGTCTTCTATGAACCTTGTAAATTCAAAACGAGTTCGCCTTTCTTGGGAATTAAACAGACCGTTGAACCACATCGAACCACGATTTGCAGTAATGCCCGAAGCAATTTAATCATTGTAATCTAGATACCCTGCCACAAAGTCACGTGCTCTTGAGTGAAATACTTGATTCTATTCCCAATGTATAGTCATGTGATGTCATGTGTATCTCACCCCTTCTTTAGCCTCCGGGAGTCACGACTTCCGGGCTAACCCTTGAGATGGCTTTTGGCTTTTGGCGGTTGCCCATCTGGAAAAATCTAGCAAGAAACCAGGATCGAATCTAGACATTTGTTTGCAAAGAAATCAATGCAAAAACACAAACATCAAAAACTTGCGTCATTTGCCTGTATGCATTTGCACACACACACATATAATTGAACATATATAATGATCTGCAAGTAAGCCAAAACAGCCACACACACGCATAAATAATTCAATGTAATTCAATAAGTCAATACATTAATATATCTCAGCAAATGAACACACGCAACATTCATACAAACACACACATATATATATAATAATGTTGGATGGACAATAGTAAAGCGCGTGCAATAGCTACAAGTAATTTTCAGAATCTGATTTTTCAGCCCCTATTGATTTTAAATTAGGCCTTATTGATTTTAAATTACAAACATCAATCTTGGTCCAGAGCATCTGCAATAAATGTGGTTCATTCGGAATAGCTACAAATAATTTTCAGAAAATTACCAAATTATCAGATTTTCCAATACTAGATTGTAAAGGAGATAATTGAAATTTAGTATGGATGCAGGTGAAAAAATCAGAACCAGTTACAGTTCAGCTATATTTTTCCCTTCTTCCTTAGTGTTTTTAATTGTGGTTGAATGGTTTTTTAATTGTGATTGCATGTTTTTCAAAAGCAAAAACAAGCAAACCTTTACCAAATCAAAAACTTTACCTTGTTCAAAAAAAGTTGTTTTCTTTATTAAAATCCTTTTTAAAAATTGCAAAAAACAGGTCCACAAAGGGTACCCCCTTGCAGGTCCTTGCATTTGCAATTAAAAACTGGAATTAGCACTTGCAATAAGAAACAACCTTCCTGGCTCTAGCAGGCATTTTTTCCCTTCTTCCTTAGTGTTTTTAATTGTGGTTGAATGGTTTCTAATCGTGATTGCATGTTTTTTCAAAAGCAAAAACAAAGCAAACCTTTACCAAATCAAAAACTTTACCTTGTTCAAAAAAGCTGTTTTCTTTATTAAAATCCTTTTAAACAATTGCAAAAAACAGGTCCACAAAGGGTACCCCCTTGCAGGTCCTTGCATTTGCAATTAAAAACTGGAATTAGCACTTGCAATAAGAAACAACCTTCCTGGCTCTAGCAGGCATTTTTTCCCTTCTTCCTTAGTGTTTTTAATTGTGGTTGAATGGTTTCTAATCGTGATTGCATGTTTTTCAAAAGCAAAAACAAAGCAAACCTTTACCAAATCAAAAACTTTACCTTGTTCAAAAAAGCTGTTTTCTTTATTAAAATCCTTTTTAAAAAAATGCAAAAAACAGGTCCACAAAGGGTACCCCCTTGCAGGTCCTTGTGTTTGCAATTAAAAACTGGAATTAACCCTTGCAATAAGAAACAACCTTCCTGGCTCTAGCAGGCATTTTTTCCCTTCTTCCTATCAGAATCCAATGAAGATTCCCATCAGAGCCCATCAGAAAAGAGAGAATGTGTCAAAACCTTACAGAAGCCTTTGGGGAAGAGTTGGGATTTTCGATTTACTATTGCAAAGCAGACCCCCCTAAAAAAAATAAATAGGTGGGGTACCCCCCTTTACTATTGTCGATGTAACATTGTGATAAATAGATAGAAAGATAGATAGGTAGATAGATAGATAGATAGATAGATTGATATACATACACATACTTATATAATATAGATACATACGACATGTACATCTATTTTTTCCGCCATTTTTTCCGCCAACAAATCGCCGGCCTTCGATGCACTTTGGCCCTTAAGCGCGGCACGGTCTCTGCCGTGGGGTCTGGCATCGCTGAGCTGCTGCTGCGTGGCATCTCGTCCTCGACGTCGCCGTTCATGGTGGCCATGGAGGCACCGGATCGCGCTGGGGGGGAACCCGGGGGAACCCGGGGGAACCCGAAGGATGGGGGTGGAAATCGGTGTTTTTAGATGGTTAGTATGGCTAAGTATGGCTAAGTATGGCTAAGTATGGCTATGTATGGCTATGTATGGCTAGTAACTAGAGGAATTTGTGGTGTGTTTCCGAATGTGTTTACTGCGATCTTCTTGAGGGGATAGAACATGATGTTCTTCGAAAAATCTGTGTTTTTGTGCTGAGTTCCTGAAGTGGCAAGGTGGAATGGATCCAGTGATTCCTGAATTTTGTGCCAAGGATGTTGGAATACCACGCTTTGGTGAAGAAAGGGCTCAACTGCAGGGTAAGTTCGGAGGGGCTGCAGCAAAAACCGGAAAAACAACTAGGAGAGAATCCAGAATCCAAACATGATGGATTTTCCATTGGAATTTTCCAATGAACGGACAATCGCCTGAAGCCAAGCCTTTGGCTTGGTCTGAGTGGCTGCAAATCGGGTGGAAAAGCAGCCTCAAAGGTCTGGTTGGTTTCTTCACTCCCGACATAAATCCAGTCTTGACATGTAATTATATCAGATATACTGTATAAACATTATGTCTGTATTGATATATTATGTTTATTGTAGTTGTTGGATCATCATCCGAAAATTCCCATTGGAGAAGAAACGCCTTCTTGAAGTTCCCATTGGGGAAGAACAAACAGCAGGATTTCCGCCAATTTAACTGGTTGTTTCGGTGTTTCTAAGTGTGTAACATTTTTTTTGGGGGGAACACATCGGCTACTTTGGGAAGTTTGGTGATGATATTTGATGATTAAACAGCAAGTTGAGGTGCACCCTTTGAGTTCTTTAATCGACAACAAAGAATCTTTAATTAGATTGCTGCTTAGCTATTTACTTCATAGTCTCATATGTTCCAGGTGTCCGACCTCTCTAATTTTATTTAACTATCTAGTTTTGAGGTTCCTATTTCCTGTTTTGGGGTGAAAGGCTAATCTTCAATCATCTTCAATCCCGTGCAAGCAAAACTTAAGCACCCCATCTTACGCCTGGGTGCGAAAATCACCATTCTTAGCAGGTAAATCGGCAATCAATGGGGCATTCTCCAATAGCAAACTGTTGCTTTACTGGAGGCTATATTAACCATCAAATCCCATTAAATTCCTATTAGCATCCCCTTGAAACCACTTAAAATTCCATTCAAATCCCATAAAATCAGTATGTTTACCCATACCCACTTCATTTAATAGTAACCCAAAAAAAAAACAGCGGCACAGCGAACTGCGACATACTGCGACCTCGTGGCCGCCTTGATGCCCCCAATGCGCTTGACCTGCAGTTCGCCATCCTATACCAACCAATTTACATATAGCAACCATCCCAAAACAATAGAAAATTCGTTGTTTTTTTTTAACCATTATCTAAAACAATTGACACAATAAGAACAGTCGATAAAAGTCGTTTATTATTATATATCATTTCTAATTCATTTCTCATTTTTTGAATGTAGGAGCAATTGATATCAATTGCTTGTCTGCATCTTTTTTGCAGCAACATGGACCCTGCCATTTTGGTTGGGAGTTGGAAAACTATATAGATTCCTCTGGAAAGTAGTGATTCTCTCAAGCTGTTGGTTGGATTGTAATCCCTATTCCCATGTGTAATCCCTGTCTATTCAGAACAGGGGGGATTACAGTAGTGGTTAACCCCTTTTTGATTTGCGGCCAATGCGGGGATGACAAACGACGGTTCCCAAACTTAAAATTAATCATAGAACTTGACGATATGTATAATAGTTGCTTGCGCCTGAGTAGATTCTGGATACTTTCAGGGGAAGGCAGAGCCTCACCAAATGAGCACTAGGGTCTTTGGAACGATTCATGTGCCTATACAACAATGGGCTAGTATCAGTTATCGAACAAATCATTAGCGGCGAACCTACCAGTTACGGAGAGAGCCAGAGGGAGATGAACATTAACAGTATCATAAGTACGAATGAGGTGAGCTAACCCAAATATACTCGATTACCCTCTAATCTTTCATGATACCTCCTCTTTCAAATAGGTGCTGACATCTAAGCTTAGACAGTAGCAACCCGTTAATATCTGGTTTGTGGTTTCAACCCCTCTGAAAAATATAAGTTCGTCAGCTGGGATGATGAAATTCCCAACTGAATGGAAAAATAAAAAAAATCATGTTCCAAACCACCAACCAAATATTTAATATCAATCCATCATGGTTTTCCAGTTTTGTCACCAAGTTTTAGCCGCCAAGGCACTGGCAAGCCTTGCTCCACCCAGCGATCAGCATATTTCACCTAGAAGAAACGACCAGCTTCCAATCCCTCCGGGATAATCAGAAAAAACGATTTCGCCATCTGGTAAACTAACAGTTTGCTATAGAAAATGGCCATTTCTCCATCGCTCTCTCCGGGAGTTCAGCATCTTGCTGAAGGCTAGCCAAGGACAGCTTGGCAGTTCAGCCATTTTTACTTGGTTGATTTACCTATGAAATATGGTGATTTCCCACTTCAAAAATAGGATAGACTTGGCATTGAATATCGAAGACTATGGTAAACGTGACCCACATTTTGTGGGGATATTAAGTGGGATATTGATGGGATATATTAAATGATATATATATATATATCAAATATACATCATATATATATATACATCATATATATATATATATATACATCATATATATATAATATATAATATCACATATATATATATATATAAATCATATATATATATGTATAAAACATAACATATATATATATATCATATGTATATGTGGTGTGTGTATATATATAGTATACATGTATATCAGATGTATACAACCAAGAAATACCAAGAATATGACATGAGACCATGGACTCCACAGCGTCCAAGTGACCAGGATGAGTCGTTCCACCAGCTCTGCTCGTTGCTCCAAGTCACCTCGGTCAGGGGATCCGTGGCAAGTCCTTGGGGATCTTAGTCATCACATAGGGATTTCATGGGGGAAACCATGGGGAAACCATGGGGAAAACCATAGGAAAACCATGGGGAAACCATGGGGAAAACCATAGGAAAATAGTGATTTGATGGTGAGTTGATGATTTTCATGGTGATTTCAATGGGTGTGTTTAAGGGAAAAACATACAGGACGCACCCAGATTTTCATGGGAAAATCTATGGTTTCCGGTTCTGATTTTCCCTCAAGCGAATCCATTGGCACAAAGTACTAAGATGTACTAAGGAACCACCCAAAAAATGCAAACCCAAGGCCAAAGTCACCGTATCACTGAAATCACTATTTCTTTTGGATATTAATTACTGTTCTAATCTTTGGGGGTGCGTCATCTTGAAGATCATCCTGTAAGACGTTGTAAGCTATCATTTCATCGCATGTTCCATCTTATCTTATTATGTCATATCTTATGGTATCTTATGATATCTTACCGTACCTCATGATATCTTATGATATCTTATGGTATCTTATGAAACCTTACGATATCTTATGATATCTGTTAATCTCTTTTCATATCTGTTCAAATCATAATTATCATATCTTATCATTTGTTCAGTGTATCTCACTATTGTGTGATCACTAAAGGTGGGGATGGTTGGGAAGGTATTTTCAAGCCATGAAGCTTCATGAAGGATGATGAACAACTACTGATAAATAATACATTAATACTGTATATATTATAGTAGTTGTTCATCCCTCATGAAGCTTCATGGCTTGAAAATATAGTAGTTGTTCATTATACAATACGTATATATGTATACATAGCCGCATTCCGCAACTTGCCTAGTCCTGCGCAATTCGCTCATGACAATACGACCATACGAGATTTTATTAACACCGCCCACCTGGTGGCAAACTCCAACCTCCATTTCTTAACATCTTTGAAACCCCCAAGAATAAGTAAGTATGATGTAGGTGGGAAACTGTAGTTCCTTGGCTCCCGCACCGCCAAATAGCAGCTGATTTTTCATAGCAATATATTTTTCTGGGTGCAATTGGGGTTATGAATAGATAAGGCCATGGTGATCACCTCCATGAGTTGGAATGCAGTAACTTGTAACTTGTACCCTCTGGTAAACATACAAAAAGCTATGGAACATGGCCCATTTAGAGTGAGTTTTCCCATTAAAAATGGTGATTTTCTATAGTTATGTTAGTTTACCTGAGGGCAACTATGGTTTCATACATCCACTGTATAAGCGAAACTTCGTATTGCACCGAAAATCCCTCACGACCTCCTTTTTCCCACTTGGAGCTGCGAAAAACACCGGCCGCTTTTGGGCGCTTTTCGTTGCCGCCAGGCTATGTACATTACGACGCAACCGGCCGGGCCACCGAGGTCGAGCTGAGGATCATTCGGAAACACCCCAGCGATATGGGATATCAATGGCCCAACACAAAAGAAACCTGGAGAAATTTTAGGATTTCAACCCGGGGATGAACATTTATAGCTAACATGTATCATATGCACCACCAAGAATTCTCAATGGGAATTTCAGGATCCGATTGATTGGAGGTACCTACCATAGAAAAAAGGCCTATGTAAGGGCTATGTAAGGGAATATCACCACAAAATATGGCCTTATATGGTACAGTACCTCCATTTTAGGATCCTGGAATTCCCATTGAAATTATGATGAATTATGGCCATCAAAAAAGTACCCTGCAAAGGGTGAACGTTTGGATGGGAGCTAGTCCTCCATTTATGGCTCACCAGTTATCCCAAACAGGGCTTGTTGAAAGCTGTTCCTTTTCTAAATCCCCGTTCTTCTTGCTCCCTCCCCAGGTACGATGAGTAAGTCAACACAGGTTTGAAACCACACATCCATCAAAATAAACAAGTTCCATTGCCATTAAAATCCATTATTGGTTTGTTAAAAAAGGAAGTATTCCAAAATGGCTATTCCAAAATATATGTCTCATAATACACATTTATATTCCATGAATTGTTCCATATCCCCATTATATCCAATGATACTCCCATGATTTGTTGGTCCAATCCCATTAAAAAAATCCATCGACATATCCCATTGATGGCTTAAATAAGGTTAAATCCCATTATCATACCATTAAAATCCCATAAAACTACCATTATTATACCATTAACATACCATTAACATACTATTTAAATACAATTTTTTTATGGTGATTCCTCAACATGCCACCTGACCACGTTTGAAAAATCCGATGATCCTCAGGCGATGGCCTCCAGCGGGTCGCTGTGGAGGAAGATCCCTTTGGATTCGACGGCCTCGACCAAATCGATGACCTCCTGGGAAAAGGATGGGAAAACACCAAGGGATTGAAAATCAACTATTATGGTTGTGTTGAAACCTCTATAAACTTCAACTATCATTATTGTTACCCACTGGTTATTTAACACAGCCATGGTTTTTCGATGGCCCTAATCGAAATAGATGGTAAACACCGTTCTTAATAGCATGATAGATTTGTCATTTTCAGGGTCTATGTTAATTTACCAGGGGGTAGATCCTTTTTTTAAAAGGGAAAACCACTATGAAATTCAATGATATGTTGATATTGTGAAAATTTCATAGATGTTTTGCATATATAGATCCTTTTTGTTAAGGGAAAAACCATGCATGGATTTCCACCCGACCCCGTCCTCTTCCGGTGCTTCTCCGGGAATGGCTCGCGCCTGGTCAGTTCTTCAACTGCCAGATCAAAATTCATGCAGCACATGGCCAGGTCATGTAGATGAATGTAGTCGAAAAAAGGGGTATATCCATGAAGTTGACATGAACCTAATAGGGACATGTTGCTTAACCGGCTTAACCATCAGATTTAGGGGCTACCCTATGGTCAGACTCAAACCCATCTTCGTGAGCAACATTAACATCCGCTAAATATACCCCAGCTATCATAGTGCCTGTGGAACGATAAAAAGATGGTACAGTTCTTGGGGATCCTATGTTATATACACATACCCGTTGTCTCCTATATATCACATATATATATATATATATCACACACACACATATATATACATACATCCCGCGTATATCTGACACCTTCCATAATATGGGATATCTATGTGTACTGTATACGTATATATATATATTCAGAAGATTCCATATATTTCTACGTGTAAACATACATATGCAGATATTGATTATATGACTCTAAAATGAATATCTTTCATTTTGTCCTCACTGGATGCTATCGATATCAATCACAAAGGCCAGCTGCTGCTCCGTCTCTGCACCTCGCAGGCGGCCAAGTTCAACAGCCAGCCGACCTTCTGCAGCGGCACGCGGCTGGTGGCGCGCACCCCGGCGCGCCATAACTCGGCGGCGCCTGCAGTGGGGGGTTGGGGGGTTCGGGGTGGGGTGGGATGGCTGGGGGCGTTGGGAATCCTGAGAATTTTCACCTGAAAGTGAAGATGATTTTATATAATTAATGTGCCAAATTCTATGATCAGTTATTGGGATTTATAAATATGGGGATACTTTATTTGCCAGGGCTTCTCAGAAGGATTTAACCCTAGACTGCCACTGCCGCATCTCTAATCTTTTTGGCATTTATATGGTTAATTTCTGCCAGCAACAAAATGGGATATCAGCAACAAGAAAAGAACACACACACACACACAAATAGGAATCTAACCACCACCAAAAAGTGGTGGAAGCCAGAGACTTCCAACGGGTTTCCCCGGAAAGTAGGTACCTTCCAGTGGAACGGGCCGTGCCTCGGCCATCCCTCTGTAGCTTCACCAAGAGCATCAGACCGTAGAGGCACCAAAGATTTCCGGTGGCCGCCTGCCGATGCCACGGCGAAGGATGATGATGGATGGGGTGATGGTAATGGACGTAGCATTACTAATCACCATGAACATGATAAAAATCATGACCATCATAAAGAAACTGAGAATAAATAAATTGAACATAAATAACATAACAATAACAGTACACATGAGATTCGAGAAACTAACAGTAAAGGCCACATGCCAACATCACAAAAACTGTGGAAAAATATGAAAATTGACCAAGGTTTTTTGGGTTTCCTCAGCATCCCGGGATCTCCCCACCGGTGATGCTAGAAGCATGGCGCGCTCGCATAAGGCGCTGCGTCGCTGGCTGCTGGCGTTGCTGCTGGAGTGGCCACTGCGGGGCGCGTCCAAAAGCAGCTCGGTGTGTAGACAAGCGCGGAACGACTCTAACCTCGGCGGTCTTTAAGATCTTTTGCTGAAATATGCCGAAGTGAAAGTGCTTTTTCAGAATTGAGATGGATTATGATGGATTGAGGGTAAAAACTTGGGATATTTTTGGTGGATGTGTTGGTTTCCAGCTATCTACCTACCTATACATCTATAGTAGGCGCAGATGACACGGGACTTTGCGGCCGATTTAGCCGAGGTTTTTTGGCACATGACATGGGATTTATGTATTGATTTTGCTATGGTTTTCTTTTTTACACATGACATGGGAGTTATGCGCCGACCTAACGGGCAGGTATTTTTCCATTTTTTTGACAGATGACATGGGAATAAGTGATCAAATTTACACATGACATGGGACTTCCAGGAAAACACAGACGTCCAAAATGGGAAGTGGCAGGTCATGAGATGGGAAGACGAATTTACCACAGGACATGGGACATCCAAGATGGGAACTGACGGAAAATTTTGGATTATTCTAACTGCTAGCAGGTAGCTATACACTCATATACTATCTTTGTTCATGTGGGATGTGAAATGACATGTTTTGCATCTTTTTGGGGCCCAAACAATTGCAGAGGTCCCATGTCATGTGATTTTTTTCCGAGGCACTTTACAGATGACACGGTACTTATGCATTTTTCTGTTTTTTTCACTTTGCAGATGACATGGGAGTTTGCGTTTTTTGGGTATGTCCGACAACTCCCATGTCATCTGCAGGTAGCATAATAAATAAAATCTCTCGAAATGCCAGGAGTTGTCTCCACCTTGAGATTTTCCCAAGTAGAACAGTAGAACCACCAACCAGCTCATCAGTTGAGCCAGAAACCACTGCGCACCACTGGCGCCCAAAGGGGTGGGACGGTGCAGCCCTAAGACTTCGTCTAACTCCTGGCAGGGCAAGAGCCCTTGGGATGGTGATTGGTGGGTGGTTTCAAAAGTCACCTGTTTCTTGAGGGGGAAAATCATCCAACAAAGATAAAGGAACATCGATTATTACTATAAATGGTCATAAGTGGGAAAGAATTTCGAGTAAATCAACTTGAGCTACTTTTTATAGGAACCAACTATTTGGGCTTAATTTCTACATCAATGCTGTCAAGTGTTAGATAGTGTTGGGATGTTGTTGGGTTCTGTCAGTGTTTTTTTAAGATACATAATTTGGCCGTTGACGTTCAGTGTGCTAAGGGGACGCATGTAACAATACAGCCACTTCTTATGGATTACAAGGTGGGAAAAAAGAGGCTCACCAAGTACAGACACTGCCTCCAAGCTATGGCACTGTGGTGAAATGTTCGTATTTACAATTGGATTGTTCATGTTCCAAAGAACATAGCAAACTTATGATCTGCTATGTTGTTGGCGATCTACTTTACAAACAATCATGTTAATGAACAGATCCGCATGTGTTTTTATGTTATTTTTATATGTCTTTATTATTACACCCATATGTAGGGATAATCTTCCCATTAAAACGGCTACAGTACTTGTCCATGTAGCCAGGTTTCCATCTTGGCTTGGTTGAATCTCGTGTTTTTTTTAAACCCCCGTTCCATCTTTGCTGGGGGCCACCAGAGTTGAAAAGGCTGATTACATGGAATGCCAGTAGTGAAACCGTGCACTTGGCGGCACCCCCAGCCCCAGCGACCCTGCGCAAGGTGTTGACCAAGCCCTGTCGGAGTCGCAACTTGGTCAAATGACCTTGAGATTGCACCGGAGTGGCGCTCAGCCGCTCAACGGATCCCGGAGGTTTCCTATGATGAAGTCCCTCATCAGTCAATGGGAATTCCAGGATCCTAAAATGGAGGTACTGTACCATTTAAGGCCATATTTTGTGGTGATATTCCCTTACATAGCCCTTACATAGGCCTTATATGGTAGGTACCTCCAATTTAGAATCCTGAAATGGCCATTGAATCATCATGTATATTTGGTTGGTGGTATACCAACCCCTCTGAAAAATATGACAGTCAATGGGAAGGATGACATCCCATATATTATATATGGAAAATAGAAAATGTACCAAACCACCAACCAGGAGGATTCCTGAATGAGGGTAACCCCAGCTCTCATCCAGTTTATAGATGGATTTTCCTTGAAATAAACCATCCAGCTCTTGGGGTGCCCAGGCACGCAAGGCGAAGGGACTCCCAGGCTCCAGGCGCAAACATAACCGGATGGCTTCCTGAGATGCCGTGGAGAAACTGGGCTTCACCCAAGGGGATCATTGGAATTTCGTTCAGAAAACCTATGATTTTCTGCTGGTTGGTGGTATACCTACCCCTCTGAAAAATATGAGTTACTTGGGATGATTGTTCCCAAGATATGGAAAGTCATAAAATTCATGTTCCAAATCACCAACCAGTCTGGGATTTGACATGAAGTTCACCAGAAAAAACCTATGGATTTCGCGGATTTTATGGAGGTAACTGAGTTCACCAGCAAGAGCGGCAGATTTGGAGAATCGAAGGTTTGTTTTGAGATGTTTTAAGATGTTTTAATTTGAGCCCCCCCCCCCAAAATGATCAAATGACCAAGTGACAAACATGGGGTGAACAGGGAACACCGTGCATGACAATATGATTATTAAATCCAAATGGATCCATCTGTAACTAAACTGAGGGAGTATGAATGGAGTAAGGTTGGTTAAGATCTGCATGTCTTAAGTTGGCTGCATCCTTTTGGGTGGTTGAAACACTTAGAAATTGGAACCAAACAAAAGCCAACAAATCTAGGAATACAACCATCGTTCTAAAGCAGCTTCGGGTAAATCACTGGTAATCCCCGATGGTAAGTTCTATGGATTTTACCCTCTGGTTATTTAACATTGCCATGGGAAATGGCCCATTTATAAGTGGTTTACCTATTAAAAACTGTGATTTTCCATGGCTATGTTAAATAACCAAATGGTAGACTTATTTAGGGACTTCCACGGATGAGACAACCATTCCCGTGGTCACTTTCCATGCACTTCCCATACTCTGTTTCTCGTGGTGACGACATGGGAAGCGAACAGTGTGAACAGGGGCTGAATCGATATCATCCTGCTGAACCCTTGCAACTTCCACCAATCTCTTTTTGCAAACGTTCTCGACAGAGTGTCGGAAAAAATCGGGGGAAGTGATCCATACTATGAGTCTCCATAGGTGGATGGAACATTGAAGAAATATCAGTATCAGTATCTCTATTTCCCAAATTTGTTCAAATACATGGTGTCAAAGGAAGCACCCATTTGAACCTTTTCTGTTTGTGTCCTGCATCCATGTGGCCAGGCGAATCTTAACCGGTGCTTGAGCCTTAGATTCAGCTCGGCCCCACAAGCCCTTGGGGAAAACAAGGGGCTTGAAACATCCGGAGACGACTCAGCAACCCTGAGTTGAGATCATCATCATGTTTTCGAATCCGAACTTGCTAGCCAATTTCAGATTTTGATGAATGAACACCTCTGAACCCCTTACGTTGGTTAAAGATGGTTCAAGTTCAACCCATGTGACTTGCAAAAAGATCACCCAACAAAATGTTGGCGTTGGTCATCCCCAGGAAAATAGAACCCAAAATCTATCAGTTGACTACCATATCTACATTGAATCCCAACTATTGCATAGCAACTATGGGATGCTTCTATAGAATAGGTTACTCTCCCATATTATCTACCATGACTACCACATAGATTGGTCAATACTGGATGATTTAATGATTAAACTATCCGATTCATATCCCCATTGCCCCACTGATATACCATGAATTCATACTGTACCCAATCAAAAAATACCGTTCGTGTTGTTAAAATCGCATAACATCGCTATTAACATCACCCAACCTAATTTGATTGGATCCAATATACCTCAACATATCCTCATAAGTCGTAAGCTGCTTTTCATCCCCATGTTTCTTAATTAGCCATTGGTATGGTTGAATCCCAATTCATTTTCCCATTAGTAGCCCACTTACACAACATCCAGAATAATATCTTGGAATTGCTTAAGAACCACCCAAAACACATGGGAAAATACCATATCAGCTTCACCAAATCTAAGATATCCACCGTATACACACATATACATATACATTATATATATACACTATATGTATATGTATATATATATGCATTGTATATTATCTACAAATATTACACAACCTCGATGATATCTTAGAACCAGCCCCAAACTCAGCTTCGGCGCCATGGTGAGCATCACCAGCATCTGCTCCGCCGCTCTGGCCCAGCCCGTGCTCTCCGTCAACGTGGCGCGGCTGGCGGCGGTGGGCCGCAGCGGGCCTGGCGAAACTCCCATGGGGATGTAGACCTAAAAAATAGGGTTTTCACCATCAAACATGGGGATTTCACCATTGAAATATAATGATATGTATATGTGTATATATATATATGTATGTATATATGTGTATGTATATGTATATGTGTATGTATATGTATTATGTATATGTATATGTATGCCAGTATGCCAGCCAGTATGCCAGTATGACATCTACACTGAAGTTTGGCTTTGCAATCTTCGACTGTGACACAGTAGGCAATGCAATCACCAGAATTCTGGGAAGGCAATCAACACACAGTCCAGTGATATTACCACTCACATCGGAAGGAAATCTGTTCTGGAATCCAACATGCAAAACATAGCTAATGAACAAACATGTTTATATTTGATTTGCCCATTAAGAATGGTGATTCTCCGTAGCAAACTATTAGTTTACCAGAATGTAAGTACCACAAATATCCAGGGGATCACGTCATCCAAACCCAAGGCTGAACTGCAGGGGTTCAAAACGCTGCAGGTACATACCTCCGGAATGGTTTCGTAAGGTGGATTGGTTTGCCTCACTCGGATGATCTTGGATTATGACATTATTGCTATGTTTGGTTCCAAGCATAGAGTTTCTGGGCAAAGTGCGGAAATAACAGCAGTATTATAGTACATAGTTGTAAAAAAAATCGTAACATCACCGTAAAACGATGAATGATATCCATTGCTCAGTGGTTAAATCCCCATGAACATGTCCATGGTTGACCCATCCAGTGGATTTCTCCAGTTTCGGATTCCCGCCTGAATCTTTGCTCATGGCCATGGTCCGGCTCACCACATCTGCGGGCGGCACCTGACGTCGATGTCAAATGGATCTGGGGAACTGAGAGATGAAGAACCCATCAACATTGCCAATCCTTGCTGCCCTACAAAAAGAATCAAAAAGACCCAGCATGTTTTCCCCCAAAGTTTGACCCATGGCCTTCTTGTTGCGGTGGCAAAAAGCGAAGACCAGATTTTTTTGGGGTCGGATTTCTGGATTTCCCCATGATTTCCCCATGATTTCCCCACCTCTTTGAGGAAAAAATCCAGAGCTTTCCGCGCCGAGGTTTGCGCATGCAAGGCACACCTTGGGAGCTTGGGCACCCTTGTACCCTTTGAAAATCCACATGAGACTCAAGCATACAAACATCATCAAACATCCAAAGCATTGAACATCATCTCCCAAATCTATTTTTCAGGGCTCCATCTTGGTTTCTGGTCAGGTGGCATGTTAAACATAGGGCGCAACTGACCTTCGTTTCCCATGGCAATTGTGCCTGAGGTACTGCGAACCTATGGTTATACAGGAAGCTATCTGCTAGATGCTTTTTGCGTCCCTGTGATGTTGCTTATTTGATGGTTGCCGTAGTATTTATTATATAAGTTGGACGGTCCAGTTGGACGAACAGAAATTAACGGGCACGTGCGGAGAAGGCTCATCAGTTCATCTCAGCGACAAATCATTTTTGTGAAACAAACCCAGCATTTGGTAAATACCTTCTGGTAATTTATATAAACGTTTGCTATTGGACATTGCCATAGAAATAGTTGATTTACCTCTTAAAAATGGTGTTCCATGGTTTTTTGTATGTTTACCAGAGGGTAATCCCAATGAATCCATGCCGAAGAGACATTGCAAGGACCAGCGCTTGGTATGAAGAAAGCAGGAATCCTCGTCTTCGGTTGGCCGCAAAGGATCACAATGGGCCCAACGTTGCGAAAAGACGGCAATTCTTGGTTTCTGATTTACCCTCTGGTAATTTAACATAACTATGGAAAATCACCATTTTTAATGGGAAAATCAACTAGAAATGGCAATTTTCAATAGCTAACCAGGAATTCTGGTTGGTGGTATACCTACCCCTCTGAAAAATATGAGTTCGTCAGTTGGGATGATGAATTTCCCACTATATGGAAAAATCTAAAAAAAGGTTCCAAACCACCAACCAGTAAAAGTACCATATTCCTTGGTTTAAACCCCGAATATCTTGGCAACCGCCAAGTTTGTTGTTGCTGAGACCCAACTTTCGTAAACTTCGGTTGGTTCAACCCGAGACTTTGCCAATTAAAGCCCCAACTATTTGTTGATTCAAATAATCTTAAACCATTGAGAAGGGTCTTGCAGTAGATTTTCAACAACTTCACTTCTCAAGGGCCAACTGTTCTCAGCATCCTTCCTTTAAAAACATAATAAACAGACTACGTTTAGAATACTTTATTCAAAGGTTATTGAAACCTTGAATCCTTATTCAAAGGCTATTGAAACCTTTCAATACAGCCTAGTAACACCATCCAGCCGCATCCCCAGATGTCATTTCGGATGACCTTTCCGTGCCAGCTTCGCCAAAACTTCTTCCAAGAGCTCCAAGACTTTGCCGACTTCGCCATCATATCGTATTCTACCCCTATAATTATTCCATAATATTCCTATAACTACCCTCTGGTAATTTAACATATAACTATGGAAAAGCACCATTTTGTAGCTGGGTAAATCAACTATAAATCGATTTAATAGATTTTTGACTGGTTGGTGGTATACCTATACCTCTGAAAAATATGAGTTCGTCAGTTGGGATGATGAAATTCCCAATATATGGAAAAATAAAAAATGCTCCAAACCAACCAGTATTCCTATAACTATCCCTACTATACCACCATAATTAATTCATAGTTATATTGATCCAATCGCTCCTACTATGGAAAACCTATATATTCTGCAAATATTGTTCATTCCTATATCCCTCCTATACCACCCATTTTTCCACCATGTTTGTTTAGCTAGAACCTATTGAAGATATTAATCCATAATTATGTAATTTATCCATACTATAGGTTTATAATTATATTGGTATCCAACAATGGTATTCCATTCATATCCCATTAATCCATTATATCCCTATAATCATCCCCATTGCATCCACCATTTTTTCCACCCAAGCGACGGCTACTGCCATCCGTCTGGCAGCTTCCGGGCAGCCGCTGCTGGAGTCGAGTCAGCGCCTGCAAACGGCTGAGACCTGGGCCATCGCCATGGCGAAGCCAAACCACCAACCAAATAACAATGGGCAATCATGAACATGGTGGATCACAATGGAAAAATCATTCATAATTCCATCAAAAATAGTGGATCATAATGGGAACATATAAGGATGCACATTGATAAAAACTATTATAGGATTATATAAGTGTCTAGTGACTCTAGTACCCCGAACATCGTGGAGAATCATGGGAAAATCATGATACACCATATTTAAGTATGATTAAGTGTCATAGCCCTAGTAATCTGTAATAATCCCTTCCCCCTAATACCAAACACCACCAGAAAAAACATGATTTAGTAGGCAACTTCGACTTAGTTGAGACGATTTAGGGGGTGTTTCACATTAACCACCCCAAAAGTGACGAAAAAGTATGAAAACGGTGGGAAACCTGGAAATTTTGGGCATATATCAAGTAGAAATATTATCGAACTACCATCCTGGAAACACTTTTTGGCATCTCTTTCAGAGGATGGCTATATTCCAAAAATGGATTGGTAGTTTGAGCCCTTTCCAATAACCACTGGATTTTTGACACCTCTCAGCTGGTTTAAGGGTAAAATCTGAGGTTGAACCAGCGCTTCCTACCTTCTCCATAGTTCAGAAATCTCCACGCTATGTGTCTTTAAAACATGTTTGTTGGTTTGAAGGAAGCTCTCTAGAGTTTGGAACTTTCAAATAGATTGATTTGAGATTTACGCGCAAAAGTTGCGGGGCTTGAATCATTTGGGTCGGCTGCTGGGGCAACTTTTGTTGTTCGGAGACTGAAACATCAAAAATGCAAGATTGAACTGACCAACCAACAAAAAATGGTAAAACAAATTCAAAACTGAAGGTTGCATTGGATTTTGACCAGCAAAGAAAGGCATGCAATGGCGTTGCAAGTACACACCCGGGGCATATGGAATCAGCCAAGTTTTGGACTTAGTCAATAAGAATTGTGGAACTTCACTCAGGATGGCACTTTGGTGGAATCTCTCAGGTTCGATGTGGCTTTCCGCCATGAATTTACAAACTGGTAAATTAACATAGCCATGGAAAATGGCCCATTTATAGATGATTTCCCCATTAAAACCTCCATTTATAAGGGATTTTCCATGGCTATGTTAAATAAACAGATGGTAGATCCTTTTTTTGAGGTTTCCACCATGGGTTTCCCCAGGGCAACTAGTGGCAAAATGCCCTTGGAATCCAAGCATCATGGCTATCTACCCACAAAGCCATGGAAATATATAAGTAATGCGAGTGTAATGGGAATATGATGGAAATATAATGGGAATATCATGGGAATATCATGGGAATATCATCGGAATTGATGGGAATATCATGGGAATATCATCGGAATTGATGGGAATATGATGGGAGTATGATGGGAATATGATGGGAATATCTTGGGAATATCATGGGAATTGATGGGAATATGATGGCAATATCATGGGAATATCATGGGAATATGATGGGACTATGATGGGAATATGATGGGAATATGATGGGAATATCATGGGAATATCATGGGAATATCATGGGAATATGATGGGAATATGATGGGAATATGATGGGAATTTCATGGGAATATGATGGGAATATGATGGGAATATCATTGGAATATGATTGGAGTATCATGGGAATATAATGGGAATATCATGGGAATATCATGGGAAGATCGTGGGAATATGATGGGAATATCATGGGAATATCATGGGAATTGATGGGAATATGATGGGAGTATGATGGGAATATGATGGGAATATCTTGGGATTATCTTGGGAATATCATGGGAATATGATGGGAATATCATTGGAATAACATGGGAATATGATGGGAATATGATGGGAGTATGATGGGAATATGATGGGAATATGATGGGAATATCATGGGAATATCATCGGAATTGATGGGAATATGATGGGAGTATGATGGGAATATGATGGGAATATCTTGGGAATATCATGGGAATTGATGGGAATATGATGGCAATATCATGGGAATATCATGGGCATATAATGGGAATAAAATCGGAGTTTGGTCATGTATGATCATGCTGAAATACGTGCGATTTCCCGCCCCATTTGTTTGCTTGAACACCAAATGCAAAAATGCTGTTCCTTTAAGCGGGTGTATCTCCTCAACAAAAACACCATGCGAGCTGCGAGTCAACCACTGTCTTGCCCAAGGACACTAAAACAATTTAAAACAACTGTCACGTCATCCATCCACATGGTTTGGGATCGCAACCCGGGTGCACATGTTTAAAACAAGGCAGCAGGAAAGAGGGATGTTCATTTTCCCATTCTCCTATACATAAAATAGCAGGGTCAAGACCTAGCCCATGCCTTTCCGGATCCAAACACATAAGTGAAATCAAACCTAATTGATTTTATTGAAGGTTATTAAATGTTTATTTACAATGTTATCCCTTATTTGATGTTGAGTTGAATGATTATTTATGAATATTTAACGCTCTCAATGTGACTTGGGCATACAACAGAGGTCCAGCCCCTTGGGCAAGCGCCACCTGTTTCTCGTGAGTTCAAGGGTGTGTCCGAGAGAACCTGGGTGATCTGGGTGCAGCAATATGGGATGTTCAGGAAAAATGGGGCTAACAAGCACACATTAAAATTGTCAAGCCAGCAACAATTTTTAGGATTTCACCAGCCAAACAAAGAGACTTGAGGATTACACCAAGCAAACACACACACACACGTATGTATATATATATATGCATAAATTAACATTTCACTGGTGAAATGATGTGGGAAATCAACCGGCGTTACATAAGCAAACAAAAATTTGGATTGAACATAGCCCAAGCAAACCTAGAGGTTTGAAGGACTTGACTCAATAGTCAGTTTCATTTCAGCAACTAAAATGCACCTGTTATGAATAAAGACAATTTTTCTGATGGAATCTGCTAGCGAACAAATGGACAACCATGAGCAAACACCCAACAATTTGCCAAACCTGCGACCTTCAAATAACATCAAATAACAGCCCCATCTCTTGCAAGTGTTGACCTCCAAAGATGAGCTCTAAGACTTTTACAGCACGCCACATTAGACACTCTCGAAGGCCCCAGGACATCAAGTCCTTCTCGTTTCTTCAAAGCAACTCCTTCATCAAAGCATCCAAAGGCCAGCGCCAACACCAAGCGCTGCGCACGTGCGACGTTACATGACGAGAGCTGTCCTGCGTCCGCGTCTGCAGCAGTGAGTTCCAGGTACCACCAAGCCATGGCAATCCTGATCGCTGCAGGGTTTGCAGCCCATGTGTGCAGTCATCTGGGTTTGGTCGAAGGGAACATCTAAAGACACATGTGCTGGCTGTTGTTTGCACCACCCCGGTGAACAATAATACTACATAGACAATGAGGGGTTATCATCCCAAATGCGACGGACAATATGCTCTTTAACCACCAATCAGTATGGTTCATCATGGTTTTATTATCCCGGCAAAAGACCCCAAACAGTGTGTAGTTAGGATTTTAAAGGGAATGTCGGACCTAAACGCATCAGTGGCTGCAAGCTAGCAGGACCAGAGCGACCCTAGTAGTGAAAAGAAGAGATGCCAGGTAAGATTCTGCATCTCCTCAAAAGATTCTCTGTAGAAGCTGCTGTGCAAGATCCCTGTGTGGCTATCTGTACAAGGTGTCTACAGGAGATCTCCACAGAAGATCTTTGTAAGGGGTCTCAAAGTAAGATCTCTGTTCAAGCTATCTATACATGATCTCCGAGCAAGACTTTTGCTCTCTTCACCAGGTCTCAGTACGAGATCCCCAAAATAGGTCTCCTGGCAAAACCCCTGTACAAGATATCTACAAGAGCTCTCTGTTGGCAAGATCTCTGTAAGAGACCTCTTGGCAAGATCTCTGTACAGATCTCTATAAGAGGTCTCTTGGTAAGATCTCTGTATGAAATTCCTGCACAAACTCTTTATAAAAGCTCTCTTGGCAAGATCGCTGCAACAAATCTCTATGCAATGTCTCAGTACAAGGTCTCTATGAGAGGTGTCCTGGCAAGATCTCCGTACAAGATCTCTATAAGAGGTCTCTTGGCAAGATCTCTAAGGGGCCTCATTGGGCCTCTTGGCAAGATTGCAACAGATCTCTATGCAATGTCTTTGTGCAAGATCTCCACAAGAGGTCTCCTGGCAAGATCTCTGTACAAGATCTCTATAAGAGCTCTGCTGGCAAGATCTCTGTAAGAGACCTCTTGGCAAGATCTCTGTACAGATCTCTGTTTCTAAATTATAAGAGGTCTCTTGGCAAGACCTCCCGGGCAAGATCTCTATAGGAGATGTCTTGGAAAGATCTCTGCAACCGATCTCTGTACAAGCTCTCTGTAAAAGCTCTCTTGGCAAGATTTATGTAAGAGACATCTTGGCAAGATTGCAGCAGATCTCTATGCAATGTCTTGGTGCAAGATCTCCAAAGAGGTGTCCTGGCAAGATCCGTAGGCGACGATCGGGGACATCATGTTGTGCGAGCCCGCGCAGTCGAAACGCACATGGACATTTCACAAGATCCATTTTGTGTGGAGATTTACAGGGAATTGGCCGGACACGGATGATACCACCTCGATTAAACACCGGGCCTTAACACTTACCGTAAGAACCCCTCAGTGTGGCCACACTGTTTGAGGAAAAAAAGACATCGTTTGTGGGAAATTGCCCGGAAACTAATACTGAGAGTCCTCTTCTGATGGAAGCTGATTGATAAGAGAGAGGAACAAGAACAGACTACTGTTCTAGAGACCTTGTTTTCCAAGGTCATTTGCCAAATATGCACCAATCTACTTTCTCGACTTTTGACCCCACCGCTCTTGGCCATAATTGGCACTTTCGCTACTAACTCAAGTGAAAAAGTCAGAATAGCTTGTGACCCAAGCTACCATCTCACCACCATCACAACCACCATCACCAGGTTGTAGCATAATTAGGGCAAGTTCAGCAAAGTATCACAATTTTTTGTCAACCATCATTGCTTAACATCCCAGCATGTTCAAAAGTAGTATCACTATAGAATATTTGTCCATCTTTGATTAACATCCCTGCATCCATGTTTTTTGGCAGGCCAACCCACCCTGCCCGCATCTTCATCCCTCACTGGTCCTGGCATCTGCCGCCCCAGCACACAACTTCAAAAGCACCAAACGAGTCTCCTCACGAGACGAGGCTCCTGCGGGTGGATGTTCCAATGGATCCGTCGCCGTTTATGGGAAAAACTAGGGTTGAAAGATGTTGAAACATGTTGGAACCACGGTTTTTGCCATGAAATCTAGGCTGTATCATGATGTATATTCATCATATATATAATAATTGCAGCAGTTTTCATACAGATTGTTATTCTTGATTCATGTGCATCGATTCAACCAAGTCTGCCTGATCGAGACATGCAGTATATGAAATGAAATTATATACCGAAAATTACCGACCTCAGTTGTTTGAAGTAATATGGCAAAAAAAACAGCCAATTCGGAACGGTCTCTCTAACTCTCTCTCTCTCTCTCTGAATTGTTTGGCATTGGGGGGTTAACACATATGATCGATTTTCAAACGCAATGTACCATCCCTCTAACTGACATGAGTTGGGGGTTGCGTTGCTTGGGGCAATGATACGCACGCTTTTGCCAAGATTATTCACAAGAACATGGATTGCATATCAAACATGGGAGTAACATGGTATCTGGGCCTATGTTCAACCCCAAACCTACGATGTAAATCTTTGGTCCATATATGACCCTAATCACTTAGTGTGTATATATATATATATATTCATAATATACATATATAATACAGTAAACATATAAATAATATATAATATATTGTATTACATACATAACTATAGATACATATCTATATATATATATAATAGATATTTCCAGTTCCCTGGGTCCAGGTGTGGCTACCGGCATCACGGCATCACCGTTTCCGTCGCTCTCCGAAGTCAAAAGCTGTGCTGCGACGTGCCGAGGCGCCGGTCAAATCCGATGGATCCAAGTGATCCAAAGGATCTCGAAAGTGATCGCCAGCACCAAAAGAATTGCATACATATATACATATCATGAAAAAATATATATAGATAGATAGTGTGTATATATATATGTATATACATATCATTAAGAGAGATTCACTTGAAGTCTCTCTCTCTCTCTATAGCCGGGTTATATGTAATGATTTCACTACAGTGATCCCTGTTATTGACGATCAAAGTGATCACAAGGGGTTGTCTAGATACAGTCAATCACTTGTCTATATGTAAATCATTGTAAATCCAAGTCTTTTCAAAATTCTTTCGAAATTATTCTGAAGCAAGCTGAACATAGTAGATAAAGTGGCCTTATGAAACATTGGAGTCTAGTCATCTAGTGGATATATGTGGATATATAGTTTCGTCCACTTGACTCCTGTGGGGATCACATGTGCAGTCTTAACTCATCATGAATGAGGGGGCAAAAGGCCACAACAGAAACATGAGCTAAGTGGATAACTTGGATTTGCTCAAGCACTCCCCAAGAAAACAAGAATATCCCCACTGGATGTCCCAAATAGTCTAGTTTCATCTATTTTCCATATCTATTTTCCATTGGGCAAGTTTAAAAAAATAGCCTTAGACAAACCCATGAGAATGAAGTACATTAAGCATTTGGCAAATTTTGGCAATCTCCTAGATTGACATGGAGGTTGACACCCTCAAAATGTGAATAGGAAATCCTGGTCGATTGCGTCCTCGATTGTGTAAGGCTACCAAGGCGGGCTGCGGCCACATTTGCAGTGCAGCTTAAGAGCTGCAGAAAGTTGATCATGTTTTGAACCATCGTGGGATCCCACAACAACGTCCATATGGTGAGTGTATGGGAAGCTTATTTTTGTGGCTCATCATTGCCACTAAAACATCTAAAACACTACCGATTTGGCAGGTGCAACCAGGATCCGTAAGAAAGCTGACTCACCATGTGAAGTTTTTCTCTCAAGGACGCAAAGGCGCAAAACATCAGAGTTTTTGCAACAATCAGGCAATCTGAAATCGAAGGTGCATTGCAAAGTCTCAAGCTGACATATGACATACATACGCTTACGCTGTGAACTCCTGGGGGTGACATCTACATGTTAGGTAGGGGCACTTTACATTTATCGTTCGGAACGATTCGGAAAGCTCTATATTTCAGTAGCTTGACCCGCCTGTGAAATCCATCGATGTTGAGCTCAAGGTTGCTGCCATTTTCGATGGTTCAATTTCGCATCTACCGCGTACCACTCAGTCGCTGAACTTTGTTCAAGCTGCAGTGGCACGGTGCCAGGATGGTTCCAATCCCTCTGTTCAAGTCTATCCAAATCCGGAAAAACAAACTGAGCCCAAAATCAACGCATACCATCTGGTTATTTGTGCCATAGCCATGGAAAATCACCATCTTTAATAGGTAAACCATCTATTTCTATGGGCCATTTTCCATGGCTATGTTAAATTACCAGAGGGTAAAGAGAAAATCAAACAAATGTGCAATGTTTAAAAACAGTGGTTAGTAGGCGGAACTCTCATACACAATGGATCATGATAATCATGACAATCCCCAATATGCTGGGTAGTACAATCCCCAATAATCACCAACCAACAGAGGTTTAGCAGCCACTGCTCAAATAGTTTTCACCAGCTTGCAGCTTGTACATCTTGTATTAAGCTGTTCGATAGGTATGTATAGGGATTTGAAACCATCACCGGCGCTCTACACTAATCGACTTTTCGAGTTGGTCAAAACATGTCAAGACCCCAAAGACCCGCAGATTGGTCATGTTTTCATCTCAGAAACAATTTAAGGATATTTAAGGGACGTTTTGGTGCAGAAGCTTTTTCAAGATAACGTAAGATAACATAAGATAACATAAGGTACCTACTGGCCAGCAAGACGGTTCAGTGACTCTTCGCCGGCAAATGGGAGGTCGTTGCGATCAGCAAATTGGATCGCCTTGAAAACATCTGGATCCAACTTCTCCTGGGCCGGTGAAAGGGTGAAATCCTCGTGCCTTCCCAGTACCACAATGTTGGTCCCCGGCTGACCACTTCTTTGTTGAGATCTGAAAACATAGTCTTGTGACCTGAAAAATCTGAAAACTGAAAACGTGATTGGGTGGTCGCATTCGAAGTTTACCCTCTGGTTAAATCAAACCTTGCTGGAAATCCAGCAGTTGATTCGCTCTATTTAAAAGTCTCCATGTCCAGTTTATATATGATCTCCCAGCCCATGTTTGATGGTGTCAAGCGCTCCGAGCTTCAATCGCTTGCATGGCTGTGATCTTTGACCTCTGCCCCAAGCCACACCTCACCAGCTCTGCGGAGGCCTGCACCGTGGCGCTGTAGCAGCGGCTCCAATCTCCGGGGCCTGTTGGTCAGCGGCGCTGTTTCAACAGCCCCGTTTTAAATGGGCCAACAAAATCTCGGTGCAGTTTCCCATTCAAACCCCCATTTATAGATGAATTTCCCATATTTTCCCAGCTATAAACCTCCTAGCTGTCCCTAGTCAATCGAGATTTCTATGATAGCTAGGACATGACTGGAATATGACTGGAGGTTGGGAAAATCATTGGGAAATTCATCTATAAACTGGGGGTTTGAATGGGACATTCCTCAAGCTAAATGGAGGTTAGAGCTGGGAAAATCATGGAACTATAATGACCAGGGGAACTATGGCTGCGGGATTTTGACAAGCCACGGAGCTCATTCCTGGTAATACATCACCATGTTTGATGGATATCCCACTTGGGATGGGGTTGTTTTTTCGAATGCATACCTTGCTGCCATTCAAAAACATAGCGAGAAAAACAACTGGATCAAACCCGGCAATTCAGGAACATATTGACTGGTTGGTGGTTGACCTACCCCTCTGAAAAATATTATATAGTCAGTTGGGATGATGATTCCCAATATGGAAAAACAAAACATGTTCCAAACCACCAACCAGTTGATATTTACAAAAATCTTGCGCTTCAAAAAGCAAAGAACATGAAAGAACCACAGGTTGCCACTATGCTACAGTAGAAGTGCTGGAGTCCAGTGAACTGGTGCAGCTAATCCGACTTTGAGAGCAAGGGGAGCGCACCATTTCTCAACTCAGTGCCCCCCGGCAATTTCACCTGGCAATGAAGGTATATCAAATTTCCCCCCATTGAACCGATGAGTTTCCTATGAAATCTATGAGTTTCCATGCGATTTCTGGCGTCTATGCTGTTCTTTCTGAGGAAATCCTTCACTTTCCAACGTTGCCAAGTCGCCCATCAAGCCCATCCTGCCGGTCAAAAACAGGGGATGGGGCCTTTGATGCCCCTGCTCATGGTCAGAACGGTTAGAATCATCATTTTTAGACTGGGATTCCTTGCATAACAAAGCCCTATTTTCATGGATTGAGGACCATGAAACCGCCAATTAATTACATCCAATTGATGGGTTAAGCTGATCCAATGTTTGACCACAGCACCCAGCGGAAAGCTTTTTTTGGATGACTGGCTGTTGAGCCATCCAAAAATAATCCAACATCACCCGGGACCATCGGGGTAATTGGTACAACTACGATGGCGGGAAAAGACGGTTGATGTACTCGGAGGATCATTCCACTTGATAAGTCGTTGGCAGGTGGGGTTATAACTAACGCAATTGGATATGGGATGATGTTTAGTTGGAACAGTTACCCTCTGGTAAACGTTTACATAACTATGGAAAATCACCATTTATAGTGGGTTTTCCCATGAAACATGGTGATTTTCCATATTTTTGTAAACGTTTACCAGAGGGTAGGGGACTTGCGAACCATTCTTGCTAGCCAGTTTCTAGGTGGGATCCTCACCCAAATATATATCTTTGAAATCAAAAGTTCGGGTTTCTGAACGGAGCGAGGCCCTTAACTGTAGGGCTGTAGGGCCCCCTCCTCCTCAACACAAAGGAAGGCATGATCATCTGAGTTTCCTTGGTGCTTGTGCTGGAACAGTGTTGGAATCAGCTGGGATCTCCCCTAGAAATTGGCAAGAAGTCCATGCCTGGAACCAGTGTTCTTCCAGCTGTTCATGAACAATTTTTGGGGAAATCTGCTAGACATGAACATTTTTGGAATCTCCTGCAAATCTACAAAATCACTCACATCTCGCGTCTTGAGTCTCATGAAATACCTACCTTATTGCCGTACATGTTCCGCATATTCCCTACCCAGCGTGCATTCAGAGACGGTCCAGGTTGGGGAGGGGATATGCTACACATTCCCTGTGGATCCAAATGCATCCTGGGAAAGCTACTCTTCCCCAAAACCAAGATTGCTGAATCCCCGTGGTTTCACCCTCGTTTTTTCTGGTGAAGAAGTAAATATTCAAACATTGTCCATCCTTCAAGCTGATTTTTCCATTGCCAACTGAGATTCCAAGGGCATCCTATCAGAAACTAACATAGATTAGATGTAGAACACCTATGGTTTCCGCAAAACGATCTCATTTTATGGCGGATTTTCCACATCTTTTTGTCACAGCTTGCGGCAACCCTACCCTTACCCGTTGCGCCGAGCAACAGAGATCCATTGATGCGACGTCCCGGGGCTCTGCAACGCCGCCAAGCACTTCCCGGAGGCCGCTAACCTCCCGTTGCCTCGCGCAAGCAACGGCGTTATCCAACGTGGAAAGCTGGAAAATCCACCTTTATGGATGATGTTCCCATGCACCTCTGATTTTTTCCAGCCATGTTTGATGATCACCACAGGGATTTTCCAGCTATCCAGGTTTTATGATTTTTTCGCCTGACATTGGGGGGGGGTAGTTTGGCACCGCTTGGTATGGGAATATCATAGTGGTGATGAAGAAATGATAAATCGATGTAAATCGGAATGAAGTTGGCATGTACTGGCTAATTGCAAGGTGGAGCCCCCAATAGGTCTCCAACGAATAATGGGACATATTGGGATTCTAAAGCAACAATACTCAGGATCTATAGCTGATATAGGAGCTTTATGATTGCAAAGTTGTTTTGTTTAACTAGGTGAATTCTATGGCTCATGGTATGTCTATATATTTATTTATTACCTCAAACAAAATAATGAGGTTTGTAAGCCAACTTACATAACTCTCTCTCCATAACTCTCTCTCTCTCTATCTTACATAACTGGGGATAGCCATCTTGTACCAGTAGTAACCCTGTTTTGTCTCAGTACGTAGGTATAGTTTACTTGGGAGAAACCAGTTATCTTGGTAGAAACAACACACCAGGGAAAAAGTAGCAACCTTTACTTATAGTGGGATGCTATATTCTCGCCTTATTGTAATAATCCACTAACAGCAAAACTTCGGCCATTTCGGGAGAGTTACCCCTTGGCGTGACATGGTACACCCATAATCTTCCAACATAACTATATAGTTACAACATGTTACAACTACCGTAAATAGGGTTAAGTAGGGCAAAAACTTACAACCCACTACTCCTACAGGGGACCTCTGTGTGGATACGCCTATCCTTGGCGGGGCTCACACAATCCGAATTCCACAGTGCGGAAGGTGCATAGCCATACCTTTTTTTGCCAAGAAAAGGAAGTTGAGTTATTCCAAGAAGCGAGCCTTGGTGGCATGTTTTGTGTCGATAAGCCAACCCATTGGCTGGAAGATGGCTGGTCCCAAGGTCCCAGTTACCCTCTGGTAATGACTAACATAGCTATTGAAAATGGCCATTGATAGTTGATTTACCTATCAAAAATGGCGGTTTTCCATAGCAAACTGTTAGTTTACCAGAGGGTATTCCGATGCACGACATTGCGGCATTGCGCCTCTAAGAAATCTTGGGTTCTTCATCCATTCTTCCGAGAGAACGATTGCATAGTCGACCGTTGGGCTAAAGGAGAAGTCTTCCTCCAATAGGACTGCCTGGAAAAGCCATTTGGCCATCTACGGAACGAGGGATAATTTCACCGACCCCTCAAAAGTACCAATTGATTGTGATGTCCCCTTCGATGAAAACCGCATGAGACCCGAAACCCTACCGACTTCAGTGAGGACACGCAGGATTCACTGGTCCAGTGATCTCTTTGTGCCTCAAATTCCTGTAGATCCCAACCCCAACAATGATATGCCCCCGTCCCATAGGTTTGATGTACATGTGTATATATATATATTATATATATATGTATATAAATATATTATATAATATGATGTAGTAAAGAGAGAAAGAGAGAAAGAGAGAGAGAGAGAGAGATAGAGAGAGAGAGAGAGAGAAAGAGATAAACAAAGACTACCGAACAGAATCACCAGGTCCCAAGTAGGAGGTGCCTGGGATTAAAACTGCAAAATAATTTGACTCAAAAGCTGTAGGGGGTGCCCTGGAGCCGTTGACATGTCAGCCTGAAGCCCCCGATAAAATAGCTGGACTATACCTACCAGGATTGAAATGATTGGCCCGCACCACTTACTCCTAGCAAAATTGAGCAAACAAATTGAAACTGGTATGCTCGATTTTGCATACCAGTGATTGATGTTATATATGTTTCAACCATACAACTGGTATGCAAATGTTTGCATTTCTTTTTCTCAGTATTCACCATGAATAGTATTCACACGTATTCACCATTACCCAATATCTGATCAGCCTATTAAGGCCATAAATGGGGGGGGTATAATACGGTATAAACCATCCACAAATGGTAGGTTTATTGTTGCCTTACCCACATTCTATCACCGCTTACGTCCTCGACGTCCTATCCCCATCTCAGGCACCAGATCTGTTTCGCCCAAGTCTCGGGCCACAAGTCCATCAACAGCACGAAGCGAAAGGGACAGCTGGGCACCATGCGGAGGTAACGCCAAGCACCTCGGAAGTTGGACCACCGGGCACTGGACCTAGAAATCACTGGTCAAGTAATGATGGTATGCGGTTCGAATATAAACAAATGGTATTGTAATGATTAGTTGCAACTAGGCCATGATGCACTATGCACTTTGAGCTTCTGCATTTCGCAATTGGGATAGATGGTTCAAGGATATGAACATGGAAAGTCAGCTATGCATATGCCTGCTGGCCATGGCAACATTTGTGACAAAACACTCAAAAACATTCCGGGAGAAAGAAGAAAAACGAGAGCACACTTGTCAATCATACGTTTGACAGTCAGGGATGGGATGCTCCCAAACCATATCATGAAATTTATAGTTGCCTTTGCACATCGTGTGAGTGATTTGCAGGGTAAATGTAGGTGTAGAAAACATAGCAATAACATGCAATAGCTACATATCAGACACTTGGCATCATCATCCCAACATATCCCCCCTAGGCATTGGAATAAGACTGATCCCACAGATTCATTACATACTTCAACAAACTGAGCATGGGTCAAGATTGCAAATGACTGATACCAAAAAACCATGGGCAGCAAAGGAAGTTCCAAAATTCATCCCAAAGTAAAGTCTTATGCGTTTTGCTGCTTCGTATCTTCTGAAACTGTTGATTGTTTCAGCCGTATGTTGGAAGGGGGTAATTGCACCCACTGCATTCCAATTGTCTTTTGCCGGGTTGAATCCACCATTTTATCACATTCCTCCATCAAGTCATAAACGCTCACCATGATATTCGTCACGTGCACCAGCGAGTTTGCCGTTCAGTTTCATGCCATGCAAGAGCTCAGAGCTCAGTCCCAGATTTCGTTGATTTATATATCATTATATATATAAAACATATTTATATACACTATTATACACTGTATTATCTGTATTCATTTCGCTTGGTTGAATCAAACATCTACCCAATTTTTACTAGTCATATACATCCCAATTGATGTGACGTTTGCGGATGCCCTCGATTAATGTCAACTCTCATCGAAATAACGATGCTAAACCACCAAAATTGCAATCTTACTCAGGTAAAAAACCAGGATTAGAATGATCAGAACCATCAAAACCAGTGTTTCTTTTCCGTCCAAAGTGCTATATGGGTATGGATCAAAATTAAGGAGCTGGGGGACTACAAGTTTAAGTCTATTTTCAGTATTAACCATCCAATAATTGTGGTATTCAATTTTGACCTATACCCATATTTTCCCGCTTCGCCGTTACCTTTCCAGCTCTCATCCCCGGCGTCAGGCACCGGCGGCGCCCAAGGAGTGTCCGATCAGTGCCAGCTGATCGCAGTCGCACTGCTGCAAAACCTGCAGGAAAACACACCGCAGCGTGATGTGTATCATAGATAGACTATCTGGTTGGTGGTATACCTACCCCTCTGAAAAAATATGAAAGTCAGTTGGGATTTTTTTATTTCCAATATATGGAAAATATCTATAGATGAATAGATCATCTATCATATAGAGATAATGGATATATAGAGTATGATAATCTAGATTATATATATATAATTAAAGATTATCTAGATAGATTATAGATGGATGGATAAATGAACAATATCATATAGAGATATAAAGAGTATAGACACATTATACTGTAGATGGATCGATGTGTCTATGGAAAACCTGTCAAGTTTTTTCTGTTGATGAATAAATGGATAGATTATTATGATAGATTGATGTTATTAAGTAAACACTGTATTTTTTTCTGAATCATTTCTTCAGAAAATATGACATTGATCAGATCTGTAAAATCCTATTGGCTATTGACAACAAACACACAGCAGAAATGTGCTTTTTTTAAAAGGACACCTGGGTTTCCAGGAAACTCCTTTTTGCATGAAACTGGTGGAGTCTTAAGATGCCGGTTATCACCAGCAAAAGATTTTGGCACGGTCCGGCGCCATCATGCGGGCTTCACGGCTGGTCGCTTAGCGACCTTTCGCAGAAGCTCATCCGTAAATCCAGGCACATCGTAGTAGCCAGGACCAGGCTGTCGTTCATATTTCTTCTGTGGGTCACGCCGTGCCCCAAATGGAGCTGATGCAGCAGAGAAGTGCTGTGATAGCGGCTGCTTGGTCGGTAGGGAGGCATCCGAGTTCCAAAGGCCCACGTTCCCACACTTCACCTCGTAGTTAAAGCCTGGTGATCGTTTGATGAGGTTCTTCACCTCTGGGTTCTCTCTATCTCCAAGGCCAAAGCCAGCATCCGTGAACTCCAAGCCAGAGCTGGCCATAATCGCCCAATCCTTCAAAGGTTTTGGAAGCCCTGGAAAACTCGACAGAGATGCACTGCACCATGAAGTGTCTTGCAGCAGGCCTGCCGGCGGAGCATCCATTTGTTCTGCTTCTCCTTTGGATCCTTTGGATCCTTTAGATGTGGCGTGTTGTCGTGTTGCCTGCCGCCGCCCGTGCCCCAGAACCGCTCGTGCCGTAGAAGTCCAGGTTGGCCGAATGTCTGTCGACATATCATTGGGCGTCGCAGAGAAACATGACATGCTAGACACTTCGGGAGCAGACTGAGACTTCTGCAACGATGGCCAGCACTCCATCTCAGCTGCATCCTGCGCTGATCTCACGAATGCCACCTTCTTCCGGCTCACTGCGGAAGGCACCGATTTGGGAACAGTCTTCGGTCTTTCGCTTTCCGGCGGTGGCCGTGGAGTATGCAAAGGCCGCTCTTCAGCATAGCCACGGCCAATATGTTCCCCACGGCGCTTGAGGCGGCCAATCTTCTTCAATGCTCGGCTCTTCTCCGTGCTGCTTACTTTGTATGGGCCAAGCGTAGCCAATGAAGCAGAACCCGCCAAAGCAGTTCGCACAGAGGGCGGCTCATTCACTGAATCATGGAGAGAAAGAAGTGCTTCTCGAAGCGGAAAACGCAACTGGGGCAAAGCTTCAATCTCTGAGTCCATGGCTGAAGAGTGTCACACTGAGTCACGCTGAGTCACACTGGCCAGTCCATCAATTCTCAGTTTTGAGAACTGACTTCAGGCTTCAACCAAAATGGCTACGGTGTGGATTGAACGATGGCAAACAATTGGGATGGGAATGAAGCAAAGATGCATAGGTAGTTGTCCCAAGTACTGTTTGCTCGAATTCTGCGAATCAATGAGTTTCATTCTATGTTTGCAGCCAGAACCATGAGCCTACTAGGTACATCTAGGTACCAACAATAAGAACATAAATCCTGCGGCTTCACCGGAGCCCCAAACTAGACTCCCACATACTCAGTGGGTGAATCTGAACCAGCAGATTTTGAGGCATCCAATGTTAGAGCGAACCCAGGTTGATCATCAATCTGATTTGGTACCTCTATTCTTGTTCAAATTTTGAACTGATTCACCCTATTCACAGTGAAAATCACCGCAGGTGAACTCCAGCAGCCCAGCAGGGCGCCCAGCAACCCGTGCCAGAGGCGAAGTCTTCGACGAGTTCGAGGCCAAGGGCTTGATGCCGTTCACGGTGGCGGTGATCTCCTGGAGTCATCACAACCGACCGTTTGGGGAAGGGAAAGGTTATGGAGTATGGGGATGGTGAACAATCATTCATTATGGTAAGTTTATGTAAGTTTTAGATCCTCATTTTCCATGAATTTCTGATCTTCAACTTGTGCATTTTACATCCCCCAAATCTAAAGTCACCATTCATCCTCGGTCAAATTTCAAGCCCCAACTTGGTGACAAACTCCGAAATCACCAAAAACCTCACCTTGGTTCGCTTCTCCAAGTTGGGCTGGCGGAAGCTGCGCACGTCCGCGTCTTTGGGTGGATCCTTAGATCCAAAGTCGAAGGATGTCCTCGTGGAGTGAGGTCACTAGAAAATGTAGACTTTTGAAAGAACAACCAAACATGCGGGTGTTACAAGCAATACATTGGATTTACATGATTTACATCCAAAATTTGAACATGTGGATTCTGGACTTGGACAGCAAGAAACTTAGAAAGTTGGAATTTACCCAGCTTAGACGGAGAAATGTTAATTTCACAAGCAACACTTGTTAAACTTGTTAAGTTTGAATCATGAGCTGCCGTCCAACATGGAGATGGCGCGGCTTGAGCAACCTTTTTGTTTTTGGGCCACTTCATTGGACAGCGCCAAACTGCCAGTCCCAGATATCCTGAAAACAAACAAAACACTTGTGATATACTTGTGATATCATTATTACTTATATCACTAGTGTAAATATATATATATATATACATATAAATATAATGATATGTGTATAGCAATCAGAAACCCAGCCACGGGACCCTGGGCGCCCAGGGGCTACATATGGAAGCTTCTCACCTTCGGAGTTCACAGCATAGATGCCGCTGCCATCCTGGCATCAAAAGGATCATTTGGCCATCCTCTGGACTGACTTAGTTAACATCAACATATCAACATCAATTGAATATCCCCTGGTAAACTCACATAACTTTGGACTAAATCACCAATTTTCATATGTAAATCAACTATTGGTTGGTGGTTGAGCCTACCCCTCTGAAAAATCATGGACTTCGTCAGCTGGGATCATGACATTGCCAACTGAATGGACAAATAAAATTCATGTTCCAAACCACCACACTTTGTCACACTTTGCGATGCGCGTAGCGTTTGTGAGACGCTACCCGTCTTGGGTGTGGCTACCAACCGGATGAAGTGAGAACAGGCAGTGGAAACATAGGGTTGCGATCCCCAAAAGGCAGTGCATCAAGGAGCTTAGTTTGGCGTCGAAACGTCACACCTGCAATGCCCAGCATCCATTTGTCCACTGCTTGGATTCTGTACTTTGGCCAGGGAATGGCTGCAACTCCTGTAAACATTAAGATCATCTCGGACCTCGGACGTCCATAGCAGAAGCTTAACTCAATCCCCTGGTGACGCAAAATCTCTTTCCAGACTTTGGTGAACCATCTGGTTCGTTGTTTGAACCCAAAACCACGGAGCTGCAAGTGTGGGACGTCACTTCCATTGCGCCACTGCGGCCCAGGCATCAAATGAACAGGGCCAGGGAGGCCGGTGGTGAGCATGTAGTCAGAATACAATTGGAAATGGGAGATCCAAGCCAAATCCCCCCCTTCAGCAATTCCTTGCCAGAACCAACTAACAATGCTCCGGACTACGGCATCTCCATACCACCGAACCGCTGCTGGCGGAATTTGGAGGTCTGGCAGCTGCACCCAAGTTTGGCAGGGCTTCGCTTCTGGTGCATCACAATTCAAATCCAACTGCACGGGTTTCTCTCCCCTAACAACTGCTCGACTGATAGCCAGCTGAACATCCTGGGTGAGACGGCTATAGTGAGAAGTGAATTGAATTGCTTTGTAATGCCTCGCTCGCAGTTGCCAAAATGTGGGATCCCGCGCAAAAATTTGCCTGAACCGCCATGCGATCAGCCAGAGCATTATGCAAAAAACACCATTCCTGCAAAAAAAATTCAGCTGTATCTGGGTGGCGGTGTGCATACACGTGGGTGATATGTCGTGGTGAGGGTGTTCCACGCAACAATTGTGAAATCTCCTGCCACAAATCTGCATGTGAGCCGTTAGTGAGTACTGCACCTCCCGCCTGTATTCGGCGAAATTTTTTGACCACTGCAATACTGTCTGTCCAAATCATCACTGTGCCAACATACTCTGCAGTACATCGCAGCGCCTGCAAAACCGCATATATTTCAGCACGCACGGCACTTTGCAGCAATCCCGGCAATGGTTGAGCGGCCAGTGTATGTGCTTGGCAAACATGACTACTACAGTCAGCCGCTTGAACTAAGGCCCATGCTGCAAACCGCTGATCTGGCAAATGCTGGTCCACGCAGCTCCCATCAGTGAAAAGGTGGACTGTCGCCCTTCCTTGCATAGGGGGCAACCACACCTCAGGCAGTGAAACAAAATAAGCATTCCATTCGAACACCGTAGTGGGCTGAAGTGCCCATCCACAACATGTAAGAGCAGGAGGCAAATCACGGATCATGTCACACTCGTCAGCCGACAAGTGCTGTCGAAAAGAGGTGAAATGGGCACACTCCCAGAATCTGTGGTACCTACTGTCACTACAATTGCAGTATGGGCAGACATCGTCAACAGCCTCTTGGCTATGCTTTTTCCCATCCTGCGTAATGTGGGTACCGTTCAGTACCTTTCTGAAAAGTGCTTGGTCTGAGGCTTCCAGGCTGTTGAGCCATACCCTGGTGGCACCTGGGTCACACTGCGCTAAGCCATTGAAACAGGGCCTGTGAGACACAGCTTGGGCAACAACATAAGTCCACTGGAATTCAACTCGCACCACTAATTCAGTAAAGGAAGTGTCAAACAACGAAAATGACCCAAACACATCACACAACATCCCTCCAAGTGTTACATGCCAACCAAGAGCTTGGATACGGTGCAACAAGGTCTGGGTGATGGTATTACCAGGGAGGTTCGCCTGGCCATGGGCAAGCTCAGCAAGGAGTGGCTCAACACGTGCAACAGCACCACAGTCTCGGGTGAGACGAAAGGTTTGCAGGATTGCCCAACACTGCGGATCAGTGTGGGCCCTTTCTATGAGGCCAAGCTGAACCTGTGCATTTGAGCCTGAGCCATCTTCTTTGAGTCTTTGGCCGCTCCAGCACGCAAGGTTTGGAATGCCTGTTGGGAAATTGTGGAGGCCGCTATACCATGCATCGCTCTGGGCCAAGCAGCCGAGAGGATTGCCCTCACCTTTTGCCGGTATGCACTGGCTGAAAGTCTCAACTTTAAATTTATCCAGAGAGGAACTACTGTGGCAAGGCGTGCAGTCAAGGTCTTATTGGTATGCTGCCTAGTGTATTGGACGTGGGCACCCAGGTTTTTGCTGTATGAAACCGAGGCAAACCCCTGTCCCCGCAGTGTCGTGCGGGCTTCAGCCTGTATTGACCATGTGTGCGTCTTGTTGGCATCCAACAAAAGGTCCAATTCCCCCACAAAACGTTCAAGACAAGCAAACACCCCTTGGATTCGATGAGGGTCCGTTACAATAATCTGCCAGTCATCCACATATGAGAGCGGTTGGCACATGGGGAAAAAATGCAACATCCACTTGTGAAACAAGGTGTCAATAACAATCATCCCCAAACAATTGAGGGCACAGCCTTCTGGTAGGCCACACGTGCTCATGGCCGGCTCACTAATGCTTCCATGAAACTGAAATCTGCGGGGCATATTGGCCAATGCTCCGGCCCACGCAAGCAGCACTGGGAAGGGTATGCCCAGGATCGCACATGCTTCAAACACTACCATCCGTGGCAAATAATTAAAAGCCTTCTTGATGTCTGCTATGATGCCGCTAAGGGGCAGATCATTTTCGTAAGCCAACTCTATGCTCCAGAGCAAATGGGACCAAACCTGCCCCGCATAGCGCGTGGGTCGACTGCCAAAGAGCCCTTGCGGCAGGTGGTCATCCAGGAAACGTATCGCCTTCCGGGCGTGATGAGTGCCCCAGCAACGAAATAAAAGGCCAATGACCGTAATGGGTCGGAAATCCAAGGCATTGCTCGGCTCGGCAACCTTGGCCAAACAAGTCACTCTCCCTGCCAACATCTGGGTGGGCCATTCGCCTGTGGTTTCTGCTTGGATAAATACATCTACGAAATTGGACAGTGCGGCTGGGCACATACTACGCAAATCATCGATGGTGACTCCATCTAGGCCTGCAGTTGTAGTCTTCTTTTTCCGCAAAATGCATTTCTCCAATGAAGGCACATCCAAGGAAGGCCACGACAGGTCAAGGCGAGGTAAGTGCTCCTTGGCAAATTCCAGAATGACCTTCCGTCGGTCCTGTGAAACAAGCTGGTGTCGACCCCACATTTCCTTCCATGCATGCAGAAAAATTTCAAAAAGCTCATCCGTGTACCAGTATGTGCGGCTTGGGCAACAGTCAGACCTGGTGTCAAGTCAGCAATCGAGTCCAA